CCCTACCTGCCAAGTTTGAAGAATCGGCCAAGCCTGAAAAATCATAGAAGAAATCATACGTGAAAACACTGGAAAGCACACACACAGAAACAAACAAAACGGCAAAAGTGGTTATAAGGGCAATCTTAGCGGAGCGGATCGCCAACAAAATAAAAAATTGACACTTGTTTGAATGGAAGTATTCATCGGCACTAATTCACAGTTCATTTGCCATCCCAAATGGTTCAGTCCATTTCACAACTTTTTTGGTTAGTTAAAGATGACAAAGTGGAACTGTTCATATTTGTTAATTTGTTGATGATATCTTTGCTTTTTTTGGTAAAAAGTGACTATTCTTTTTGAAACCCACCGGCTCAATTGCATTGACACTTGGTATGTTGTGGTACCTTGAGTAGACGTATTGTGACAATATCTTCAGTTTTTGGTAAAATATAATATTTTTGCCTTACTCTCAAAAACTACTAGCTCGATTGCTTCAATACTTGGGTGGACCTCTGTCAGATTTGTTCATAATGTGAAGATATCTTTCAATTCTCTATTTTCAGCAAATATTTTTGCTGTTTTTGGTAAAAAGTTATATTGTGTATATTTATTAAGACAGTGGAGCTATTTCAACCCTAAGGTCGCTTGCTTGCTATACCCTAATATGATTTAATGTAATCCTGAATCTACCGGTATTCTTTATATTAAAGGTATATGTTTATTGGCGGTACTAATTTTGGATTCATGAATGGTGCTAACTACTACCCATATAAACCACAGCCTACTAGTTATGATTATGACGCTCCGTTAACTGAAGCCGGTGACCCTACCGATAAATACATGGCAATACGGAAGGTTATTGGACAGGTAAGCCACTCTATGGCTTAATTTCAAATTATTGTACTTTACTTTACTTTATGATTAATTGTAGTTTTATGCATGGTAAATTGTGTCTGGTAGTATACTGTAAAATACTTTATTTTAGCTAGAATTAATTTTCGCTGAAAAGACTTTTTGGGTGTTTTGTATGGAATATATTTTCCATGATTTTTGACAAGTTGAATGCAAGATATAAGAAAAAAAGTATATTCGCTGGATTTTATTTCGTTGTTATTCCTTCAGTGAAAAAAACGAAAATTAATTCCAAGCGATAATAAAGTAATTTACAGTATGACAGGGGCAATGTTTTAATAGTTTCATTATGTTTTACCAGTGAAGTTTTTATTATGTTTCAGTACAGGGAGTTACCACCAGATCCAATACCACCACCAACCCCCAAATCAGCGTATGGTAAAGTAACTATGTCTAAAATATCTACGTTTTATGATGAGTTAGAAGTTATGGCTCCATATGGTCCTATCAATACAACGTATCCTATCACAATGGAAGACATGCAGCAGGTCAGTATTTATGACATACAGGTCAGTATTTATGACATACAGGTCAGTATTTATGACATACAGGTCAGTATTTATGACATACAGGTCTGGGCAGTATTTGTAATCCATAATGTAATTCAGTTTGGGAATGATATGAGGGCATTAATGATAAAAATCAGGTCACTATTTATGACATACAGATCAGGGCAGTATTTGTAATGCATAATGTAATGCAGAATTCAGTTTGTAAATGATACGAGGGCATTAATGATAAAAATCAGGTCAGTATTTATGTTGTGGCCAGGGAAATGTTTACCAACCATGATGTATAAAGTCAGATCAGTATGATGTGATTGGCAGTGCAACATTTGCTAACCATAATTTAAGTCTGATTCAGGGCAATAATTATATGTGTATCATGTTAATTGAAGATTTGTGATGCAAATCAGAGCAATATTTATGTAGTGGTAGGGCAATATTTGCAAACCGTACTATAAGTTGTGTCATTATGTATGTTGAGAGCAGGACAGTATTTGTTAATCATATTGTGTAATTCAGGTCCAGTAATTCAATTCTACCGGTACTGGTTTATTACATTCATGTTTCATCAGATTATTGTGATTACATATATACTGTAAAATACTATATTTTAGCTGGAATTCATTTTCACTGAAAAGACTTTTTTAGTGTTTTGTATGGAATTTATTTTCACTGCTTTTTGATAAGTTGAATGTAAAATATAAGAAAAAAGGTATATGCGCTGGATTTTATTTTCACTGAATCATTCCTTCAGCGAAAATATAAAAGTATTTTACAGTACCTAGTCTATGATAGTTATATTGTCTTCTGTATTGGCAGAGTTATGGATTTATATTATATAGAACAACTATCAATGAAGATCATAGTTCTAGTGTTTTAAGTATCCCTGGTATTGGTGACAGAGGATATGTCTGCATAAACCAGGTATATATCAAATATGATGTTATGATTGAACCATGTATGCAAATCGTATGTTTATTTTGTTGTTAATGGATATGATTGTTTTGTTTTATTTTATGCAAATGTACATGTATTTTTTGTGGATGTATTAGAGTGCTATGTAAATGATGTGTATAAGTATTAGTCCCTTTTGGATCAATTCAAAATGGCTGACGGGTGGCCATTTCATTTCCAAGAGCTATATCTCTGACATAACTTGTGAAACTTGTACACATGTATTTGTTTGAATATCAGATTCAAGATGGCCGATTGATTCCAATCGAACTTTACAACTACATTACGCACTGTGTAATTTGTTTCTGATTCAAATTTTTCAGTTTTGTCCACTATTTAACTTGCTTGTGATTGGATGATGTGCAAATGATGTGTAAATCCATTTTTAGCTCCCGTGAAACGGAGCTTATGTGGTACCGGTGTCTGGCTCTGTGACTAAAATTTGTTCCACTGATAACTCAAGGTCTACAATTTCAATTCAAATGAAATTTGGCACACAGCTAATATACAATGAGTAGATGCGCTGATTAGATTTTGGTGCAATTCCATGCATATTAATTAGTCAATTATTGCATTAATTAATTTATAACTTAGAGTCTTTAAAGTTTCTTAACAAATATTTGACTAGGGTGAGTAGCCTAATTTGCATATTGCAATAACGTATTCTGTCGCAAAAAAAACCTTGTAATATATTATTGGAAGGTCTGCAAATTTGCGAATTTTAGTATATAATGATTTATTATATCATGATGGATGTTATTTGAGCAGATACAGCGACTAAAAACATCAAATGTATGCGAGTATGGGGAGTATGCATGCGCAGTTACAAGAGTGACGTGGCCATTTTTTCAGTTTGACGAAAAAGCAGTACCCTTTCCGATTTTCATGAACGTAAGTTCAATTTCACTTTGTGTGTCATAATCATCAATAGACAAAATCGAAGACAGATGCCGTACAACTTTCTGCCAATCTTGATTCGTAAATGTGCTGGTTACGTGTACAGTGTTCTCCTCAGGCCTGCGTCGCTTAGACAATAGCCGCGTAACTTTCGTTTCCCCCGCGATTCTGCAGTGTTCTCATCAGGTCTTTTAAGGGTATCGGGTCCGATA